TACTGACAAATTATCACTTACTTTAGATCTACCCTAGTGCCATGAAGTATTTGGCCATACCTTCCTTATCGGATACATCACTTACAGGTAGCAACATTTGCTCAGTTCCCTTAGTAATTTATGCATCTCGGTTCGACTTTTCAGCAGTGACACGAGCGGTGAAGTACATAGGATCCATTTGACTTGGTTTAAATCGGCACCATAATGAGAAGACAGTGCTGATATTAGATCAAACACTCCTGGAGTGGTGTTCAACTTCAACTGGACTCATCAATTTGTGGCTCTGCATCCTTCCGGAAGTCATCAGCTGTCCGCAGTCATTTCGAACGATGTATACAGTGTAACCGGTGACTAGTTTGTCCAGTGATGGTCAGTGTTCCCATAGAGTCGCGCTAGTGAGTGACTGCCAATTCGAATAAGGATCCAGCTGCAAGTTGGGTACATAAAAGACAATTGGCCGAAAAGTGCAAACTCTAAGCTTAGTTTTTCTCGGATACGTGACCATAACACGTAGTTCATTGTTGACGGGAGTAAGCGGACGCCATTTAGGTCGGTGGTTTGGTGGTGGTGTAGCAGAGACTATGCACAATGCGAGCCCGGGACCAGTTTATCATGTTTTTGGACTTCTGTTCACAATTTCACTTTGGGTCGAGATGTCCTGTGGCACAAACCTTGTCCATCCCGATCACCTGTTCTGTATTCAAAGTGTGGTTTTCGTATTTGCTTCCTTCCAACACCGCACTACACGACAGGCATTGTCGTTGATTGAACCCTAAGGACAGATGACGGAAAATTGGAGCAGAACTAAGCAAGCATATACAGAAAACTGACCCTGATCCCTGTAAGACTGAACCCTGCGCGTAGATTGACAAGTCACTAAGGAGCACCTTCCTTTTTCAAACAATTACCATCCATTTGGACTGTTGCGTATAATATTATATTGAATAACAAGTTGTCTTGAAGCAGTCCTGTGTCGTGAAGCGCCATGCTGTTTGACATCAAAAGTGCAACAAATCCAAAGGCTGTTTTTCAAATGTGCTCTTCGTTAACGTGTTCACTAGACTCCAATGTACCTAGTACCGAAAACGAGGGTTAGTGGCAGAAAAATAACAAATAAAAGCTTTTGCATTACATCCGTTTATTGTTTGTTTGCACTCTGATACAGATTTAAAAGCAATGGAGAGAAGTATTGAGAGCGAACCACTGAAATCTCTATTTAAGACTCACGCCAAGCCGTCGAGGTGGCTACAAATTTATCCGAAGCTAAGTGACTTCTAGAGTGTATCGGTATGTCGAAATCCAACCGCAAAGTCCTGGAGTAGAAGAACTTGAAGCTAAGCATGCTAATTTGCAATTTCAAGATTAAACTATCTAGGCGAAAAGCAAACGAGTCCGCCCAAGTGCAACCAGAATCTGGAACCGAGTTAGGACCGTGTGAAGAAAGCCATGGGCGTTTCCGGTTGCACTATTTCAAGGGAGACTGATGAGTTACCTGTTTACTTGCGTTGATTGAGTTCCTGATAGGCCTAATCTATAGCACAATTAGCCTAGCTTGATTAATATAAGCCGACAAGTGGGAGCAAATCGAAGTCGCTCCAAGACTAATACAGTTATCAACTTTTTTATAGGACAACCACATAATTGGTCCAGATAATGTCTGATCTAGGCACTGTTAATGCGAGTGTGGCTTAAGTGCTTGCTCCTTTTACTCTGTGCTCCTGCCACTGGGAGTTTAACGCCGAATGCACATGTCACAAAAGTAATCAACTCAGACAGCAGAGATAGCGGCGAATTGGCCTATTGTTAGCAAAGCCCGAGCATACAACAAGCATCATAAGATGGTCACGGTGGGGACATCAAACTACGGGGTGAAAATGTAAACGAATTAATACCTTTATCCCTGGTCTCAGTATGACAATCACATGAAAACACATGTGGATTCTCCCATTTGTTCTCTAAAGGAAATCCTACTGAGCATAACATTCGTTTACCGGTGTATCCCTTCCGTGCACGGACAAAGAATAGCGGTCTAAAAACTATTTCTTGGGTTCATAATAGCGTATTAGATTTAATAACTTAGTTAGCCAAAAAGTTTCATTGTTGATTGTCAATTGTGCAGATTAGAGCATGTGTACATTCGTTCATAGTGTGAGCCATGCTGGCAAATAGAATTATAAAGGCCATAAATGTCATTTAATAACTTCTTTTATTATTACTTGCCGCGCAGATTTACAACAGTTTTTGTCATTTGTGCAGCGCAGAAACTGGTTGCGTTTGGTACATATGAACTTGCTGCGTCCTTTGCATCCCTCAAGCCTGCAGCGTCGTCCTAATTCTTTGATGCAAACAGGCAACTTGTCAAATCTCTCAGATCTGACTTAAGCAGCTGTTCAGTCTACAGGCTTTTCCCACTTTGTAAGGTTAGATGTATCATAAGTTGGTGAATTATCAAGAGAACCTGTGACTGGTGTTGTGGATGTGCTTGATCTTCCCGTAGGTCCGCGTGGAATTGGTGTGTGCGTTACGTATTGGAAAATTCATTTCTGAAACATATGGATGCAACATTTGATTTATTGGTGTGCAATTGTTAATTTCGGTGCTCCTATCATTTAACCATGAATCTGCAAGTGCTGAATTCAAAAATGGATTAATCATCGTACAGGCCATATTCTTGTTTTGGCCTTAATTCTATACAATGAAATGAGAAAATTTAACTTACATCCCCATGTTCCCATGGTACACTTTTACACATTTTCTAGGTTCAGTTAAATGAATTCCTTCTGATATTTATCAAAAGAAGTGCATTGTTCAGCTCTGCAATGCCCACAAAGCTGGGTGCAAGAACAATACCCCTTTTGTTCTTCTGCTTGACAAAACCAGTATCGCCTTCTGAGGATACCTTGCAGTTGGAAGATCCACGACCGTCTTTGTGAAGATATTTTGAGGAGTTCAGCCAGCATCCCTTAAATGTTGCCATTTGCAATACCTAACGAGTGAACACGTCATATCTTCACTTACTTTATGAAAATCATCCTAGTAAATACATGTCAACACAAAGTTCACTATTCTTCTTACAAGGGATACATTTTAACAAACTCAGGATAAAGGATGCACCGAGAACCAGCTGCTTTTCTCTGCAAAGACGCCTGTTTCGACACCTTGGAAAGATTCGAAGTCGGCAATTCTTCCTGCTGCCACACATGGCAGTTCCTTACACGCACTGGGCTTGGTTTGCTTTTACTATTTTGTTTTTTCGGCATTCTTTCAATAATTGGTATTAGTTGCTCTTGAACTCTTTTCGGTGTGGCCGTAAACAACTAGCACAAACTGCTGTGACGAGCCTAAAGTTTCCAGGGTTTATTTGTTCCTTGAGACGAATTTTATTCGGCATTGATGTAGATTGTATTTCGGACTCGCAAGCATCGATTTAATATATCCAAACACATTGAATCTAGTGGCTCCTTGCCAGTATATGCGTATCATTGACTATCAAGCTTCAAATACCCATAAAAACCGTTGCATTTCGGTAGGTTTGTACCAAAGTTTTCCCTAGTTTTTATCATGTGGTAAACATATGTCTGCTCTGCAAACTTATTAGAAATTCGCAGTCCAAAATATTGTGGGTAGTGTTATGAGGGTGAAGAGAAGCGATCACCCCAAACTGAAATCTTACCGCCATTTTATGTTAGCTGGATGAAATTCACCTCTGGAAGATCTTTACTTGACACTAGCTTTCTTTGATTTTAAACTAACAGTGCCTTATTTTGAATACCATAGGTACTGGATTTTTCAAGGCTCTTTTCTTCACCTTCACTGATAATATCACAATTACCACTCTTAGCACAAAGCAGATTAAGTCTGGCAATATAAAAACTAGTCCCCCGTATCAACGGAGCTGGGTGACTAAATTGGAATTAGCAAAACGTTGCAATACGTCATCTACAATAAAACGTCTTCAAGCGATACATAAAGTGTAATTAAATGCGATAATGCTTTGTCACTTTTTATAATTCTATCTCCTAAAACAGATGGTGTTAGAAATGGTACAATTAAATAAACTAATCCAATGGGACATAAATCAGCAACATATGTATCCAAACTCATGCAACTGTCATTACAGTTCACCTTACCACTAGGATCGTTTATATTGTTACTCTAGCAGGCCACAGCGGTAATATATTTGCGTACAACGATTAAAATATTAGTCACTACCCCAAAATAATAACGTAAAAGGAATAAAAGAATATGGAATAAACTCATTAGTTATATATAATGACTCTACTTCACTTAAAAATAGATGGTGTTAGCGAGTTGAACGAAAAAAAGACGCCAACTGGTGCCTTTTAAGTGAGATCCCATTTTGGAAATAAAATTGACGAATAGATGTAAAGAGGAAACCTTCCTCATATTGACCATTGGGCCTGTTTGTACACAAAGTGGATAGAAATTTTTTCGGTCCATGAACAATGAATGAACTTGTGTATGTTTATGTAAATGCGCACATATTGTCTACGAGTGGGGTAAATCACGTGAGGAAGGTAAGGTCAGATTCCGGATAACAGTGACGCCAGGAAAGAAAAACACATAATCGGATTGTTCTGCAAATAATGCATGCACACACAGCAAAATTTCCATGGTATCAAAAATGGCTATACTGTATGTTCAACTTTGTTTGGTGGCCCCTTCAGTTGGTGCTTCAGCTAAATTCCATGAGTCCTCAATAAGCATGGTTTTAACTTCGGAAGCTGCTGAACGGTAATATGAGGTTATAGAAGAACCGGATGCTGTCGGTTGAAAATCCAATGGTTTTCAGTTTTTCTTGTGGTTACGGAAAGGCTATTCCATACTAATAGTTGTGCTACTCTGTAAATATTCGACTGTAGGGAGCTCCTGTCTCTGCCGCTCCTAATAAACCGTCCATTCAAGTATGCAAACTGTATCACAAACGTTGTTCACTGTTCCTAGACAAACACTGATCTATATCTCCATTTGTTTTGAAGGACTTCATGAAAGAATTCGATACCAACAATGACGGGGTGATTTCGAGAGAGGAATTCTCCAAGGCTTGTAGAAACATTAAGGCCAGTCACCTGGAGTAAGTTGATAATTCAGCACCTTCTGACTTTCGCTTAAAGGACCATTCTAGATTTCATATCGTTTTAACATTCGCTGTCGTCATTATGTGGGACAGCGTAGGGCTTCCGTCACGCCGAATATTAAGTGAACCATCGCAGCAGAGTTCGAGTTTGTATGAGGATACCTCAAATTGCCCACAGCAGATGTGAGCTGATGCGGTTCTAGAATTCCACAGCTCATCAACAGAATTAGGTGACATTCAACCAATAAGTAGATAGATGTTAGGGAACTTTGAAACAATAGAACTGGGGTATGTTAAGGGTAGGATGACTGAAAGGGGAACCCAAAAATGGAGACAAGAAAACATGGTGATAGAATGCAAAGCGTTTTGGTGGATTCACCATAGTGTCAACATTGATGCATGAGTAAAAGAGCCTACCTAGTTTATATTGGGTAATGCTGGCTGGTGCCCCATTTTCACCGTATATCGTCTCGAGGTGCATACATGCTATATTTTGTAATTTTGGTTGGTTTTGCAGCGTTAACGCGTTTAATGAAAACAGCTAAAATGCCGCGCAAATCACGTAGTCAAAGAGGGGTTCCACTACTTGTAGACATTTCAGTAGACATTTCAGCGCTATTCTAGCCGGCAGTACTGCGTGGCCAACACGAACTGGTGACCCGTAAATTCGTGTGGTTTATAAATTGAGGTAGGTGGCCACAGAATCCGGTAGGCTACGTAGGCTTCTCAGCTTAAATTGATGTGGAAGGTGGAGAAACGCTTTGACGTGCTTGAATGCTCTAAGCTTCGGGGTCTAAAGTGCTGGGAGGTCTTGCTTGTGTCATTGCTCCCAGGATTAGATCGTGTATGCTTCATGTGGCCGCACGTGTATGCCAAAGTTCAGACAGATGGATCGAACCGCACAAATGCCCTCCGCAGAAGATCAACGTGTTGGTTCCCATCACTGACGCCTCCTCGGATTGTTCCGAGCAGCCTAGCTGAGGCTGCATTAATAACTGGGATCACATTACTGGGTGACTGCTTGAAAAAAGTGGTCTCCAATTTGGAACAATTGATTTATTACGGATACAAAAGCAAACGCTTGACAGTTTTTCGTAGGTTAAGAGTGAGATCAAAAGTGGCTGTAACAAAAATACGCGTAGCCGCGGACCTAATACAACTTTCAAGTATGCAGATTGTTTTGTTACTTTGTCGCGCGTCCCAGCAACTTTGGTAAAATCATCTAATGCAGGTGCTGTGATGCTTTTCAATTCGAGTTTGAATTCGGACAACATAGGAGCAGATAAGCCATAATGCAGGAGTCAGTTCCACAGCTTTGATGCACGAAAACAGAAATAGTTCCGACGGCATTCCATCCCACTATACTGTGTCGTCAACTTCGAATGATGGCCTCTCAGTGTAGTGTTGTGGCTGAGTGTCAATAAAGGTTGACAGAGGTGGTTGAGATCGTTAAGCAGCCGATACACAAATATAAGCTCGCAGAGGACGATACTGTGCGCTAAAATCTAATAGTCTTTATTCTCAACTGGTAAGGGAGATAGAGTAATCCCTTCACATTTTTCGTCGTTTTTCCTTGTGGTTTCTCAAGAGCACTGAGGTCACATTTTTGCCAGGGATGTCAAGCTTGGATGTTGTATTCAAGATGTGGTCTCACTTAGGCATTGAGCATTTACGAAAAGAAGGTAGGATCAAACCGGGCAACGGCCCTCCGCGGTAGGCCCAAGTGTCGGCTAGCAGTTTTCACTGCCGTCGCAGCCAGTTTTGAGAATTCCAGATCGTCCTGAACAAGCACCCCAAGATCACATTCATGAGAAGCGCACTGCTGTACGTGTTCTCATAGTGGAGATTTGTAGGTGCTCTAGTGGCGTATACTTCTTATTTTACACTTGGCACGGTTAAACTCAGGCATGTTCTGTGTCGACCACTCGTAAGCCCTGTCAAGACCGCCTTGCAGAACTATTTGGTCGTCTACTCGTTTGATTGCCATCCAAATCATGTGATCGTCCGCAAAGAGTAGAAAGTTCGATGTAACCACTTCCGCGAGGATTTTATGAAAAGTGGAATAACCGTGATCCCAGTACCGAGCCTTGAGATACGCCAAAGTGAACCACTTTCCGGTCGGACAGGGTGCTACGATCTTGAGTATTTAAGCGTTTTTGAAGTAGGATTGAATGAATCCAGCCCAGGGTAGAGTCACTGATCCGTATCTCCGAAGTTTGTACATGTTGTTGGGCTGATGTTGAATTCGGACCACTTTACACTTGGACGAATTAAACTGGAGCAGATTGCGGAATCCTCATTCATACGCACTGTTCAAGTCACGGTGAACTGCATAATGATAACCTTGGCTGGCGATGGCTTATCATATGTTAACATCACCAGTGACATGCAAGAAATCCGAAGCATCCCAGACGTGCAAGCTCATTAATGAACATGAGAAACAGACGTGACTGCAGAATTGCTGCTAGTGAAAGTACACATTCGATGTAAATCATATCGGACAGCGCACGACGAACTCTAGACTGCAGTTACTGCTGCAATAGGAACTTCCCGATCCACCCGATTCAGTGGCTTTTTAGCTTGTGCAGCCAAATGCAACGTTCAACTCGGTCGAAAGCTTTGAAAAAATGAAGGTTAATGACAGCGGTTTGCGTCGCTTAGTCGGCCGCCCCCGTCCGACTACCGCGTGAAATCATTACGTCGGTTGTGCATGATCGGAGTTAACGGAAACCATGCTGATCTGGTGCTATGATACTGTACCTTTCTAGATGGCCGACTAAAACCTCAGTGATGATTGCTTTCAGAGCACAGGAAGGATGACCATTGGGCGATATTTTGCGGGTTCCGAAAGACTGCCGTTGTTAAAAATGTACCTAGTTTTTCAAGTCTCCACATAATGGGCACCACTTTTCTATCCAAATATGTTTGGAAGAAGAGCTATAAGGCTTGACTAACACTGTTTATTCTACATTTATCGCCCTTGTTTAAATGACATCGATTCCGGGAGAACTGTAAGTGCGTAGTGAGAGCAGTTTGTTCAAAACAATGTGTTGTTAAACCCGGTCATAAATGTTGCGCTTGGGGCTATAGCTTTTGATTTGTGACATCATCTGACGTCTCATTGAAAGGTAGTGCCATATTGCATTCGTGGAACATTAGCCTCTTATTCAGCGGTTTGTGCCACTCCGACTCCCATGTCGAGTGGCGGACTATCGTAGTTTACTTTGTGAATACTGCTGACGTGCTTGCGTACTAGTTTTTGGTTTTTGGAAAATTTAAAAGCTAGGTATTGTTGGTGAGCAACTTTGTCCTCACGGACAAGCGTAGTACAGTGTTTGCACTCGTGGTCGCTCCAGATTTCTGAACCAAGAAGAGCTCCGTAAGCACGACAATCTGCATCCCATACTGAAATGCCTTCCCGAGTTCTGCTTCCGATGAACGACGATAACTTGTTGGATCAAACCGACTGAGTTTCTGAAGCAGTTAACGTAAGATTGTAGAAACGTCCAACAAAAGAAATCTTAGCATTATCAGTGGACCCACCTTTCAAAAGATCTCAACCGGTCATTGGAACCTGATGTTCCAGGATGTAGCGTATGATGGTGCTCGTTTTTCCGATGCGTTTCTCCCGATATTCAGTGAAACGCATATTGTTAGGAAGTATGATTACATGATCGCTTAACCTTAGTGTTGTGTCAATTATTGACTTGTTGATCATGAGTTCCACATTTGAAGTACGAGGTTTGTACAGATGCTTCGTCTTTAGCTCCGTACTTGTGGGCTGAAGGGATGTGATTGTACATCAGAATAAGTACGATAGATGTTCGCAACTCGTCAGTGAAAGTTTCGCTGGAGAATACCGAGATGTCCAGATCGTGTACGTTAACATCACTTGATAACAGCGTGATTGCAGGTTTAAAGTAAGCCTTTGTTCAGGCCCATATTAGACAGTAATCCATATTTGGATTGGACGGTGGTGGTGTTAGACGACTGCCACGAAGCAGTTGTCATTATATTTTAGACGCCAATTGCACCAGAGATAATCGGTGCTCCGCATCTCCGGATTATCTAATCGTTGTGATAGTAGAGAATTACACCACAGCCACTGATGGACGATGGTTTAGAAGAGTGACATTCCCTGAACGACGCCTTTGACATCCGTAACCTGTGCACCCAAGTAAGTCTCGGTCATGGAAATGAGATCCCAAGCGTAAGCTGCCTGACCTAGGCGAAGCTAGGCAAATATGCTGAGAAGGCTTAGGCATTAGTGTACAAGCAGAAAAGTTCTTTGGTTTTCATTAGCGATTCAAAGGACCTGTAGTTTGAACAAGAAACTGTGCCGGCCGTTGCATAGTCAACTGGTAGCCGTTATTTGTATTGTTGCAGATGAGATACTTAGGTCTGGGTTTGGCGGCATCGTACTTTACCCCTCTAGCAACCCATGATGTGCACTGCATGGGGTTCCGCTGCAAGATTGTATAGGAAGCTTGTTTTATTTTTCAGCCTTGCTACCACTGGGCGGTTGGAATAGGGTCCCATTTAATTAATCTGATGAGAGGGAGCTTCAAATCGAGCGGCAGCATCGCTCTGCGTTTCAAACCGGAGCTCGGTGGGCAGCCTGTTCCGAAGTGACTGTCAGCCTTCCAGTAGCCTAAGTTCAATCTCCCTCCTTTGAATCCCTGCTTTCATTATTCTTGGGTCCCTTTTTGCTCCCCGTAGCCTTGAGAGGCTGTGACTTCGCCCGAGTTCATGGTCGCACGAATATAGTGCCGCTGCAGCTAGTCTTGCGCTTGTGCTTTGCCTTCATTATGCTCCTAAGACTAGGGACAGCTGGACCAAAATGGCTCTAGCTGTGGTGTCCATGCGGTACTCTTCTAGGCTATGCTTCGCTGACTCACGCTTACTCTAAGGAACATCTGGTATGATACAGACAAAACAAGATCTGTTCCGAGGACAAGCTGTCAAAATTAAGACATGTTTCACGTCATCGACAGAGTTTAGCGCAATCGGAATAAGCTTGCCATTATCATAATGCCTAAAATTCGTGTGATGTGTGATCATCGTCAGATAGGTGGTCTTAGGCAGCACACTGATCAGGTTACTTAATTTGTTTCATTGGCTCAGATAAGCCATATCCTTTTCATCCAATGAGTTCGACGTGGATCTCCTAAAGATGGTACATATAAAAACGACAAGGAATCCCGTTGTTTTTTAGTGTCCTCCACAGGAGTATGGAACGTGGTTGAGCATCTCAACAATGTGCTACATACTAACGCTGCATCGTCTCCCACAGTGGCTTTGGCTATGGCAACGGAAACTGCGGCTGCTGAGTTTGAAGCATTCTTGGATGCGACCACGACCCATCATAGCGCCAGAGCAAAAGGGATTCCGTCAGCATCAGTCATGTGCGACTAATCACTGGTTACGTGTGGCAATTGGACCGAAATGGACGATAGCAGAACCCGTATTAATGCCATTCATCTACTTTGACTTTGCTAAAACTTTTGACCGCTTAGATCACCGAATAGATGTTCAAAAGCTGCAAGTCGACGGAATTGGGTACCCTGTTATTGGAAGGATCGGGAATTTCCTCCTTCAACGGAGCCTTTAGGTTTGGGTTCTGGGCTCATTTGCTAATCTTATTGACGTGGACTGCGGTGTTTCTTACTGGTCAGTGTTTGGGCCGCGCTTATTCCATTTCTAAATTAAGGACCTTGTACGTGTCATCGAGTCAAATTTCATACTTTTGCCGACAATACCAAGATATGGCGGGCGATCGGTTGTCAAGAATATCACCATCTACTGCAACGAGGATTAGACCCTGCTTATGAATACTTAAAGGCAAACCTACTTCCATTTAAGGCGGACAAATGCAATACTGTACATGGACTTCACAAGCCTGCTAACGCACATATGCTTGCAGACCATGTGTAGAAGGTCACCTTAGGGTGGTGATGAGAGACGACCTCGGTTATTGGGCGCAGTGATTGTAGGCGTCCAAAATCGTGAAGCAACATGTTGCTCTCTTAAAGGGGATGTTCGGTCGAGTCGACTCAATCATCTTTCCTCAGATTCACAATGCGTATATGAGGCGCCATGTAGAGTACGCGATTCAGGCATGGTAACCCTAGTTAAAACGCAGTCTGGTTGCATTGGAGACGGTAATGGGAAGGACAATCAAAAACCTGAAGGGATTGTTCCATTTGCCATAGCACTGGCGACTGAAAATTTTAGGAGTGCAAAGCGGAATTTATCACCGTCGACGGGGCAGCGACATTCTGGCGTACCAGATAGTGGAAAACCTCGGTCACCTTTGCCACCGCCTTCTGAAGCGCAGCCGCAACACAAAATTGATTGGCCACTGGCTGAAACTGCCCACACAGTACAGCTGGTTGAAATGTCGCCGGAATTACTTTTCCCTTCGAATTTGTTAGCCGTGGAACTTTCTTTGAGCTTTGTTACTTTTGTGCTCATGCTAACCGTTTTTATGAAAGGACTCGATGATGCATTATATCACCGACATTACTTGATTTAATTCCTGTTCATTGAATGATGACAAGACGTAGACAAACATTGTGCTCACTAACTCCCACCACATCTTGGTAAACGGATCTACATATGTGTTAACTTGGATACAATTATGCGCCCACCGATGCGCTTTTCACCTTGGTATTACTTGTTTTTTTTTGAACTTGCATAGCTCCCACAGATAATTCCATGGGACTTACCTAGCCTGGTCTTTTTATCCGTTTTATGCCACTTTTCGATTATTCTATTTCACCACTGATCTGGACTTGTTTCCTGTGTTTCCATGATGACTGACCGGAGGAAACTGACTTGGTGGAATTGTTGCAAATGTGCTGGGGGTGAACAGTTCTGGAAAGGCTGGTCGGCTTGTGTAGTGGTGACGGGTATCACTTTGTTGATTGAACTCCCGCCAATGTGCACCTGGTTTCAGTGGAGTTCAGCGTATAGACCAGGTTCTCACACATATTTATGCATCTTCCCACTGAATTCAGCATTATATGTGGCATTTCCTTGACCGTTTCTGCTAACCTATCCTACTGCTGAGACAGTACAATTATGGTCTAAACTAATGGGATTGTTTAACACATCATACGGAATTCGGAGTGCTCTTGAACAGCTTCAACTTACTTGGTGTCACCTACCAGCATCTGGGAAAGAACTATGTGAAATAGTCAGAACCCAAAAGTCCAATTTTGACTTATTTATTGCGCGTTCTACTGGAGCCTTTAGCCATAGCCGATTAGACACGCGCGCCTGTGGTGTCCCATCAACTTGCTGTTGACAATTAGCTCACTCCTGGACACTGATCATCGCTTAGCTTCTTCGTTGCAGCTCCAAGGTCAGGATAGAGGGTTGTCAGGATGGGGGGCTGTCTTGCTCTCTACTACCGCGCAGTGACTGCCAGAGCCACCGACCATTAATCTGGACGATGGGTACGGAAGCACAAACAAAGTAATGTGGTATATATTGATCGGTTTACTTTAGGCGGCGGAATTAAGCAGGGCACTGACAAGCACTATCTTTACCGCAATGTTTTGTGGAGGACCAATGCAAAATATGTTTTAGATTTTATTGTTGTAGCCTGCAGAATGGGTAGATAATCGTCTGAGAGACGTCAGTTGCCTCTTCCGAATGAGACCAAAAAGTTTCCCGAACAACTTATGAGTGATGCAGTTGCACGCGTAAGCTTCGGTAAAGAAGTGCTAAGACTGAACAAGAGTAACGATATGATTCACACAATGTAAATTCAAAAGGTGCCGAGCACTAAACAACAGTCGTTGAACTGGTTGAAATGAGCGTACGCACAAGAAGTTGGAACGTGAATCGGAACATTAACCGGATGTAGCAGAAGCACGAAATGAGTGGCCGTACCGTTCGAGCGTGCAGTCTGTGCCAATGCATCGCACTACTTTCTATAAATACCTTAGCGCATTGCTATGCACTGGTGAATAAGGAATGACCAAACGTGCTAAGTTACGTCTTATTCACGCTTATAATTTATTCCGATATTGAAATGGGGTATTAGTAATCTTAGGAAACATCAAAAATGTGTGCTTATACGGCTGGTAAGTTGCCCTCACAAAGCTGTTGATAAAAAGCCCAGCTTCAGTTTGTCCAATCCAACGGTGCTGCTATTGAAACGTACCTAAGTGGACAGCTTTGTGCCCTGGTTTTTCATCGGTTACATAGTCAGTTCATGTTATAATGAACAAACGTAAACAGTGTGTAGGTGAAGCAAAGTAAAGAACTTCGTAAGTTATGCGTTCCATACCCGTGTGCTGTAGTTTTGGTTCCGGAGTGAAAATGCATCTGGAATAGATATTCTACACAGTGATTCCGAAAATCGGATTATTTCCACCCAACATCCTTGTTTGATGTGAAGCAACCACAAAGGCACTTATTTAAATCAAATTACTTCGTGAAAGCTTCCAAGTCAGATGCCGCCCACGCCACTGGAACAGTACTAGTAGTATGCATTACTTGCTGCTGCCGTAAACTACGGGTATCCAGAGGATATGGGTTCCGTTCCTGATGTATCCGATGCATGCCCATCGCTAACGACTCTCAATAGGAAAAAACGGCGGTCTAATGCTTTTCCAGCAGCTTGGAAGGCTATCTAAAGTAGATGCTACTGTGAAGAACGAGCAAACATAAAATTCCTTTACTCACAAGAAAGTTTTTTATGTTCTAGTGAGGCGAAGATGCGCCGTCTGTTCAAACTGATGGACGTGGACAAATCCGGAAAAGTCGATATCGCCGAGTTGAAGGCCTACCTCGTAAAGCAAAGAGCGGACGTTTACACAGAGGAAGTGAAAGAGTGGATTGTGCAACACGACAAAGACAAGGATGGAAAACTGAACTACGAAGAATTCATAGACTTTGTTCGGAGCCACTTGTAGAGTAACCAGTACGCCATGACTATCTCCAGCGCCAGGTTTACATATATACTGACGACACCCATTCCAATGGATTTGTTGCCATATCCTCCATATGACCTGTAATACGTACAATCATCCCGTTTTTCACAATTTGTATTCCATAGTCCTGTCAAAGTCAATAATTTATCACAGAGGGAAAAGAAGTTGTTCAGGTGCTTTGAATGATCAATTCGGCCAATCTGATGCTATCTCTTTAACCCTACATTGCGATCTAAAAAGTGGATACAAAAATAGTGATAGAACATGATATCATAACACAAGCGATAATAGGACATCATCTAGTTGTTTATTACTGTCTCTAAATATCAGTAATATAGTTGGCTTGTAGACGTCCATACGTAGCTTTCGAGCAAAAGGATAACAAAATCTTAGTTCATATACGACAAACAGTGATTTATAACCGTTACCATGCAATTGTTAGACAAAATCCTTAGGATGACAGGAGTAAGCACCAAAAAACCGAAGATTAATAGGACAAGAAGAAGTGAAAAATTAGATTATATGGTAACTCACAAAGTTAAAACGCAAAAACACACATGCCTGTCTCCTCATCACTATGTTATAAAGACGGACGGTAAACACACTGATTCACGCTATTCCGCTTTTATACTGAAACCTACCTTACCATCTTAAGTAAATGGGATAGCATGTCGTCAAGTCGTACGATCAAAAGTTTTAATGGGAAGGGAACGATGTGAGTTGACTGCGTTCCACGTTAGGCTATAAAAAAGAGAAAAAAATGCCAGCAATCAAGAAGAGTTAAGTGTGTAGCTAGTGTAAGCAAGTAGCTCCTGACTTGCAAAGGAACGCGATAGGCGTGAATTTGGTTGGCGATCGGGTCACGTGAAAATAGGCGACTTACTCGTTCAACATTGCCTGAATGTGAGGGTTCGCAGTACCCTACCGGAACTAAGGAATGTTAAATGCGACTTACATCAGGGCTCGGTAATCGAGCGCCGCCTGTTCCTAGTCTTCATCTATGATCTCGCTGTCTTAAACTGTCCATTGTTTGCCGAGGATCTGATAATATAACGTGCTATCGCTTCAATGGAGGATCACACAATACTACAAGATGATCTAGCCAAAGTGCACACATAGTCCATCTAGAACATGTTGCATTGTAACGCCACCGAGTGAAATATTCTGAGCATACATTATCAGCGAACTCACAACCACTGTCTAGGAACACAAATATTATAGCGGGCTTTACATGAACGCGATCTTTGCGTGCTCATGTAAGAGGACCTTGGTTGTTTGATGCAGGTTGAGAAGACATCGAAGAAAGCGAACCAGCGCTTTGGCCTTCCTCTAAAGCGTTCGTGAAGTTTGACGCCCTAATCATTTCGAAAATGGTTGGCGCATACATTGGACTGCACGAGAAATTACGCTGTCCAAGCGTCGCAGCTGTGCCAGAAGCACCACCTCATCGCGCTCGATACTGCCCAACGCAGGGCGACAAAGGAAATCATCAGAGGTTTGTCCCACCTACTCTACCCCTCAGACTGAAAACTCTCAAAATGTAGAGGTCCTTATCGGCGTCTATGCGGATATCTCATACTGGTGCATCAGATTCTGAGAGACCCAAATCACACATGCCACTCAGTCAAAACACATCTCTAATGGGTTATCAGTTTAAGTTGGCCACACAGTACAGCCGATTGAAAAGCCGGCACAATGTTTTCTCTCGCCGAGTGTTGCAGCCCCGGAACGCTGTTCCGGCGCATGTAATAAATGCCCCCATATTAGCCCTATTCAAATATCGCCTTGACGATACTACGTCACAGTGGCACTACATGACATGGCCCATAGCCAAAAGCGAATGCTTGACATATCCCGTAGGATGATTAGAATGAAAATGACAAAATTACGAAAATATGTTGTCAGCACAAGGTTGTGTGAGGCACATGACTCATCAAGGGGTTTGGTGTAGCACATGTGCTAGTCTTGCCGCCTGGAGTTTAGGAGGATTATGACACTGTCCACGGTTTGCACTGTTTTGCACTAATGCCATAATCTGATGGCTATGGGCCATGTAATGTAGTGCCACTGTGACGGAGTATCGTCAAGGCGATATTTGAATAGGGCTAATATGGGGGCATTTATTACATGCGCCGGAACAGCGTTCCGGGGCTGCAACACTCGGAGAGAGAAAACATTGTGCCGATATTTCAATCGGCTGTACTGTGTGGCCAACTTAAACTGATAACCCATTAGAGATGTGTTTTGACTGAGTGGCATGTGTGATTTGGGTTTCTCAGGATCTGATGCACCAGTATGAGATATCCCCATAGACGCCGAGAAGGACCTCTACATTTTGAGAGTTTTCAGTCTGAGGGGTAGGGTAGGTGGGACAAACCTCTGACGTTCTTTGTCGCCCTGCGTTGTGCAGTATCGAGCGCGATGAGGTGGTGCTTCTGCCACAGCTGCGACGCTTGGACAGCGTAATTCTCGTGCAGTCCAACGTATGCGCCAACCATTTTCGAAATGATTGGGGTGTCAAACTTCACGAACGCTTTAGAGGAAGGCCAAAGCGCTGGTTCGCTTTCTTCGATGTCTTCTCAGCCTGCCTCAAACAACCAAGGTCCTCTTACATGAGCACGCAAAGATCGCATTCATGAAAAGCCCGCTATAATATTTGTGTTCCTAGACAGTGGTTGTGAGTTCGCTGATAATGTATGCTCATAATGTTTCACTCGGTGGTGTTACAGTGCAACATGTTCTAGATGGACTATGTGTGCACTTTGGCTAGATCATCCTGTACTATTGTGTGATCCTCCATTGAAGCGATAGCACGTCATGTCATCAGATCATCGGCAAATAATGGACAGTTTGAAGACAGCGAGATCATAGATGAAGACTAGGAACAGGCGGGGCTCGAGTACCGAGCCCTGAGGTAAGCCGCATTTAACTTTCATTAGTTCCGATAGGGTACTGCGAACCCTCACATTCAGGCAATGTTGAACGAGTAAGTCGCCTAGTGATCCCGGAATGGAATTGCCCACTTTATAATACTAGAATTGCTGCAGTGGAACGCGGTGATCTATACGGTCGATTGTCTTTGAGTAATCTATTTAGGCTGCGTCTACTCCTATACCATCGTCCACAGATTCCGTTCAGCTTGCACGAGCTAGCAACATGTTATTGGTACAGAACAGATTTTGGCAACGGCTGTGCTGCTGCCAAACGAGCATTTGTTGCGCTTCAAGTGTTCCATGAACATCTCAACTACAACGGGCTCCATTATCTTACAAATCACCGAAATAAATCTTATCGGGCAATATTTTGCTAGTTCGGCACTGCTATCGCTGTTTTTGACTTGGGTTATTATCCCGTGCTTCTCTATAATGAGGTCCTTCATCCCGTTAGAACGTCGCTGGGAGATTATTGTTAACTGTTTATATAAACTTATATCAGCAACTATTGGCCTTTTCAGGCGAATGCTGTCCGCACCCGGGAAGCTATTTTGGCATAAGGACGTCAGCCTTTTCATTATAGCTGTGGTTGTAATATACATATGCGGTTAATGCCTGCTGATCACATGATCTGCATAGGCACGGTGTAGGATGATTGCATACTTTGCAAGTTGCTGTTAAAATTTTTGTCCAAATACATTACCTGCGTCTTGTGCCGTTTGTGCTAACCCGCATGCTGTGTGCTAATAACTCGCGTGTGTCGCTTTTGCTTGATGCTTGCTCTATCTATGCTCGTAACAGCGAATGCATCTGCTTACAGCGGCCTGAACGCGACCTTGGAATCAGATATTCTTGTTTCTACCACTTTTCTGAACAGATTGAGTACCAGCTTGCACGAGTCAGAAAAGCTGTGGCTAGCAAATTTTCCATAGTGCCTAAAATCACAGCCTGAATTTAACTACTTAAATGTCTTACTCGTCCCATCCTGGAGTATTGCAGCATAGTCTGTGACAATATGAGGAAATCTGACAGAACAGCGCTAGAAAAACTGAAACGCTGCTTTGCTAACTACCTATTAGGCAAAATTTCTAATAAGAACAATCGGGAGCGCTGCCAACAACTCTATCCCAATCCGCTTTGGCTGCAAAGATCAAAACCTAACTTGATACTGCTGTACAATCGGATTCATGGTAATGCTTATTGCAATCTACCCCATTGACATTGCGGCAGAGTTCCAAGCGGGAGTTTAGTAACAAAGACTTTATCCTGGTTATACCATGATGCAGGATAAATTTACGGTTTAACTTCTTTCTAACCAGGCATGCTTCTCTGTGGAATCGGCTGCTAATCACAATGTGGTCGTGTGAGACTTTAATCGTCTCGCAGTAAGGTGGGGAGCTACCTCGACATTGACACTAATGATGTTATTTTGTTCGTGGGGAAGATCACTTGACGATGCATTTAATGTAGGCTCAGATAACGTCTAATGGGTCAAATGCCACAAGTTTAATCAATGTAATTAACCCTCAATGCTTGCAATATACTCAAAAGAAAAAACTGTCTTCTACCTTGCATAGTGCATATATATGGGACACACTCCGTGCCAGAAACACAGATAAAAATAAGAAGATAACTTGCTATTGCTCTTGCAAAGGCGTGAGATCATCTGTAGCTATATAATATGTGCCAATTACGGAAGCAGCTACTCAACTGGTGAGAAATATACCTATTCTACCTATTACCTATTATATTTCTTACCCTACTTTGTAAAGTTTGTGCGTATTAGCATCGTATTTCCACCATAGCCGTAAGATTTGAATAGCGTATTCCACGCGGGGCCACACGCAGGCGTTCAATACTTGCGGAAAATTTGATGGCTCAAAATTCCCGAACGCCATCCGTAGTAGGAAAATGTGCTAACTGGCTCTTCTGGGTGCCTTTGCGGCCGGTTTAGTGTAGCCAAGATCAATTTCCACTATTACCCTAAGGTTACTTTCCTGTGTAACGCGTTGCAACTGCTGTTCTGCTAGTTGATACATATGAAATCGTTGATGGCGTATGCTCAGAAGTTTGCGTTTCACTAAGTTTAACAAGCTGGTTTTCTGATGAATATGTAGCGGCCTTGTCGATATTTGTTTGCAGTACCGCGTGATCGTGCACTGACTTGATGTCAGACCAGATCTTCACATCGTCTTCAAATAATAGGAAGTCCGACTGGAATATATAAA